CCCCACTCTGCAGATGGAAATGCTGAGGCTGGGCCGAAGCAGAGCTGGGATCGGAGCCAGGGTCTGCCTTTGTCTCTGCCCACGCCCTCCTTGCCGCTCTCTGCCCATCGCAACAGCGGGCCCTGGCCTGGCAGGGGCGGTGGACGCTGCGGTATAAATTGGGGAGATCTGGGCAGCCCGCTGCCCTGTGTAAGTCTCCCTGGGGCCTGCGGCCGCCAGCACTTTCGGGGCGACCTCAGGCCCACTCAGCAGCCCTGAGGGAGGTGCCTGGTTCAGCCTGTGCCACAGAGAGGGACAGTGAGCTCGGAGAGGCCTGTCATTTGCCTGCCGTCTGCTGACCGGTGTCTGGTGCAGACGCTGGACCTCACGTGTGCCGGCTCCAGAGTCCGGGCCCTGCGGGCTTTTACATTTTATCTTGAAACGTAAATCTTTCAACAACCAGTTGTGTGGCCTGGTCCCAAAGGCAGATGCCCAGGCGCTGTCTCGGAGACGTCACCTCTGCTCTGGTCTCCCCGTCTTTCCAGGGTTTCCCGGGAACATGTGCGGTGGGAGGGGCTGCGGGGGGGGTGTCGGCCAGGCCCCTCCTTTCTCTGCTCTCTGGGCAACAGGGCTGTTGTTGGCCACGTGCGAGATCCCGGTCCAGCCCCTGCAGGCCAGCCTTGCTGTGACCGAGGGCACCGGGCTGGGGCTCCCGAGGAGGCTTTTGCTGAACTGGGGTCTCAGGCGTGGGTGCAGTAGGGATGAGCTGGTCCGATGCCCCCCCCCCCCCCCGCTGCCTCGTCTCCTCAGGCTGGAAACGTGTCCTGCATGTCCCCTGAGTGTCCTCCCGGGCCCTGCCACAGCTCTCCGCCATCGCATTGCTGTACTTGTGTTCCCAGTAAGTGACTCTCGGGGCTGGGCTTGACTTTTTTTGTCCGTTGGGGGTTGGGGTGTCACTTGAGGATGTGTTGGAGCAGGGCGAGTGGAGGAGAGAGGAAGGAGAGTGGAGGTTATTCAGGGCTTCCCCTGCCTTCATTGTCACGGACCTTATTTCGCATGTGATTTCCCCCCTGCCAGGTTTTAGGTGCAGCGTGTTTCCCATTCTGGGCTCAAAGGGGGAAGATACTTGGGTGCCCCGGTTTGGGGGTGCTGGAGGACCGAGGACAGGTGCTACATTTCCCAGGGCCCTCCACCCACCTGTCCTGTTTCTTCTGCCCCCCACCCCCAGAGACCTGAGCACGTTTCCCTCTCCCCACAGTGCGGTGTTACTTCCACGGCCGATGGTACGCAGACGGGGCTGTGCTGAGTGCCGATGAGTGCACCACCTGTGTCTGCCAGGTAGGGGCTGAGTGAGGGGGCCCGGGGGGCCCCCATCTATGGCCACAGCGGAAGGGAGACAGGCAGGAGAGCGCGTGGACACCCGCATTCCCCAGCCTCCCGGTGGTCTCCGGAAGCCCCCTCCAGCTGTGCCTGGAACAGGCCGGGGGTGGGGAGCACAGGCTCACCTGGGGGCCCGTGGCCTAGGTGGGCAGTGGACAGGGCAGGCTCTTTGCCCGACTGTCAGCTTCGGGGACGCCCTCTTGGAGGGAGGTGCTGGGGCTGCTGGGCACCGTCTAGGGAGGAGCTGCGCCCCTCCACCCCAGGGCCAATCTGTTGCACAGACTCCCTTGCTGGGAGTGAGGGAACCATCCAGGGCGCCGTCAGCCCAGGAGACAGAACTTAGGGGGAAGGGGTCTGTCATGGGGGACAGCCTCTGCCTCAGACTCAGCCATGCAGGCCAGAGGCTGCTGAGGGGCTGGTTACGTGGTGGAGTAATGAAAGCACATGGGTGGTCGAGCAAGTGCTGTGGCTCAGGAGAGGGGGTTGGAGTGGGAGCAGGAAGCGGCTGCCGGAGTGAGGGTAAGGTGCTGGAGGCTGTAGCGGGGAGGGCCACCCCTCCCGGGGTCTCTTCCACCTCCCCCCATCTTCTCCTGATGCTCCCTGAGAGCTTTTCATCACCATTTTGGGGGTGCTGGCTGCCTGCACTGCCTCCTTTGCGTCAGGAGGCCTAGCTGGGAGCTGCCCTCACTGGCCCTCTCCCTCTGGTTCTCTCCAGAATGGGGAGGTGGAGTGCTCCTTCACGCCGTGTCCGGAGCTGGACTGTCCCCGGGAGGAGTGGTGGCTGGGTCCTGGACAGTGCTGCTTCACCTGCCGGGACCCCATGCCCACGACAGGTGAGGGCCGCCCAGGCTGCGCCTGCTGAGACAGTGTGTGTGAGGGTAACTGAGTGCGTGTGTGTATCTGTTTTTGTGTGCTTGTGTGAATGCGTGTTCTTTTGTGTGTCTCCATGGAGTGTGCCTGTGCCAGTGTGTATCTGAAGTTTGCATGCGTGTGTGTATGTTTGCATGTGTGTTAATCTGCATGGATGTCTGTGTGTGGTCTCTGTGTATGTAGTATGTTTGTCTGGCTGTGTAAGCTCACCTTTGTGTGACAGTGTCTGTGAAGATTCCCTGAGTCAGGGAGCCAGGCAGGCAGCTGAGGGCAGTACTGGGGTACAGTGGGCAAGGTTGAGGGTGCATCTTGGGAGCCACTGACCCGTTATGGGTGAGCTGAGGTGTGTGAGCTTGGAGGGATGGTGCTGGAACTCTGGCGGGCATTCACAGCCATCCTCTGTGTTTCTACTCACCTACGCTTTCTCCTTCACCTGCCCCTGGCCAGGCTGCTCTCTCGATGACAACGGGGTTGAGTTTCCGATCGGACAGATCTGGTCTCCTGGTGATCCCTGTGAGTTATGCATCTGCCAGGTGAATGACAACCTGCGCGCCTTCAGCTGCTTTCCCCGCTGTCCTTCGCTGGCCCACCCCACCCTCATCGCCCTATCCATTTTTGGGGACATCCTGCCTCAGACATGGTGTGAGACACACTGACTTGTGTAGGGAGCTGCTGGCAGAGGAGATGGAACTAGGCGTCTGGAGGATGGAGGGAGGAGAGGCAGCTCAGGGCTGTATCACTCAGGTCTTTGCTGTGAAATTGCAACAATTCTTTTAATAATGCAAATCACATGACCTGTCATCAAAAAGGCAAGGGTAGGTGGACAGAAATGCAAATACGACTGCCCACCAGGAGACATAGTCATTGTAGCTCTTTGTTGGTTTTCCTTTCTACTTTGAAAGAGTTTTTAGTGCCTTGGAGTTTAGAGCTTTATTCCTTAACATGAGGGTCTGCCCCAGCCATGGTGTCAGCATCGCCAGGAGCCTGGGAACCAGGAGCAGTGGCAAGTGTGCCCTCACCCCTGCTCAGAATCTGCACTTGAATCCCCTGGCATCTCATGTGGCATGAGTGTGTGAGAAGCCCTAGTACCTTTGACACACCGTTTGTTAAAAAGCCTTGGATCTCCACAACATTTGGAAATGTCTCTGGAATCAGAGCTGGAGGAAAGTGTCTGTGCTGGCTTTTTTCTCCTTTTTGACTGAAACAAGCCACTCTTAGTAGGAAAAGTAACACAAAACTTCACAAGCAGATTCTTAGGAAAGAAAAGAAAATTCTATAGCACTTCTGTTTTCTGACATAGACATTTCCGGTAGAATAGTTTTCTAATAAAATAGGATTTTATTGTACTCCATAGATTTGGGGTGAGCCTGGGTTCCAGGGAAGTGCTAAGAGAAGAATTTGGAGGGGGTGATGGCGCAACCTCAGCTGCAGCTGCTGAGAGGGAGCCAGGGAGACCAAACCCCAACTCTGACCTCCCCCTCCTAGCCTATGGGAAGCCTTCCTGGAAGGCTAACACCCCCTTTTCCAAGTAACTGGTGCACTTTGGGGGAGACGCCCTCCCCCACTTCATCATGGTGCCCTGAGGACACGGCTTGGCCAGTTTGTAGCTGCCCTTTCTTTGGGGGGTGCTGGGCGGGTGGAGTGGGTGGAGGTGGGGTGTTAGTGAAGCCCCTCCTTCCTCAGGCAGACGGCTCAGTGAACTGCCAGAGGACGGACTGTGTGGACTCCTGCCCTCACCCGATTCGGATCCCTGGACAGTGCTGCCCAGACTGTTCAGCAGGTAATTCCTGCCCCCGCTGGGGGGCTGCACTGACCCCCCACCTGCTGTGGTAGGATCCTCAGGGAGCTCTCCAGTCCAGGCTTGCGCTATACCAGGCTCCTTCGTACTAAGCACCACACACAAGCTTCATGTCAGGCCAGCCGTGACTGGTGGGCACCCCGTTATACAGACCAGGAAACTTAGGCTCTGAGAGCTGAAGCCGCTTGCCCGAGGCAGGCCGGTCTGGGTGCTAAAAACAGGTGTGAAACTCTGCAGAGTGGACAGTCCCGCTGCAAGGGGCCACAAGGCATGAGGCCTGCGGCACAGGACAGTGAGACTGTCAAGGTGGAACTTGATTTTTTAATCATTTTTTCCTTTTCCATTATTTCAAAAATAGCCTTCTATTGAGAACTGCAGAAAGCAGATAAAAGCAGTAGAAATGGACCGTGATCCCTCACGGATTGTGTCTTTTCCTGATATAGTACTGTTATCTAACATGCCTGTAGCATAGAGCTGCATCTAACCCACAGTAGGTATTTAGTATATGTATTTTCTTATATAAAATATTTCCTACCAGCCCGTCACCTTCTCCTATACTTATCAGCATATGGTCAGTATCATCCAGTGGTAGCACTGAGATGGGTCCTGGGGGGCCTTGGGAAGCAGAGGGGGAGAGGTGGGAGGGAATATTCTGGAAGGTGGGGCTTGGCAGGGCGGGGAGAGCAGAGGGGGTGGTGTGATTCCGGAGCTGGTGGTGTCTCCTCCCTGGGAGAAGTGAGGAAGGGACTCTTTCCTGGGGGGGGCAGAGAACCCTGAAGTGAAAGGACTGTGGCGCCCTTGCTGAAACCAGGCAGGCCTGGGGGCGGTGGGCCTGGCCTTTGCTGTCCAGATAAGCCTCAGACTTTCGCCCTGGCCAGTCTGGCGCCACCCCCTCCCCCACCCCCTGTGGTGCTGAGCACGAGTTCTCTCCTGCAGGCTGCACATACACAGGCAGAATCTTCTACAACAATGAGACCTTCCCGTCCGTGCTGGATCCGTGTCTGAGCTGCATCTGCCTGGTACGGGCCTCCCAGCCCTGACCCCTGGCTGCTGGAGCTCCCCAGGGGCCATATTGGCTCCTGACTTGGGTGCAAAACCCAGAGACCTCAGGAGGGGCTGCCTCTGGCTTCTTGTGCAAGCCATGTCCTTGAACCTTCCCCCTCAGGCAGAGAAATAGTTTAACTTCACACAGCCAAAGTCCTCTGCTTCTGGGTGACCGGACAGCACCTTGGGGGCTCCTCGTGGTATAAGTAGGGCCCCGGGATTCTCATGCAGGTGGAGGTGAGTGTTACAAGCCCGGGGCTCATTACCGGAAGCTCTGATGTGGTCACGCTGGCTGACTCTCGCCGTGAGTGTGACCCTCAGTTCAGCTGCAGGAGGAGCCTCGGGTGGGCACTGCCAGGTGGCAAGAGAGACAGAGGCACCTGCTCAAAACCCCACAGCTAGTCATCTGGAGCTCAGGGGCTCGACCCCTTTGCCTCGTGGAGCAGGCTATCTCCCCAGTAGATAGCAGCATCCCTGGGGGGCTGGAAAACAGGGGTCAGTCTTTATTGCTCAACATGCTGGAAACGCTTAATGTGGGACGGAACTTCTTGGCCGGATGAGGGATGCCTCTGCCGGGATCTGGGGCCGCAGGGTGGCAGCTCTGGCCCTGAGGGCCACCGGCTTCCAGGAGCTTCGGCTTCTGGGTCCCTCCTTCTCCTGTTTTTGGGGGCTCACCTATCCTGGGTGGCTTGTGGACCTGTTCAGCAGGTGGTACCTGTTGACAGATGGACTCCACGGACGAGGCAGGCCCTCGGCCCTGTGGGTGAACTACCTCTCCCTGCCGCGTGGCGTGAGGGGCACCCGTCCTCCCGCGGCATCCCCAGGATAAAGGGCACTGAGTGTCTCCTGTGTCTTGCAGCTGGGCACAGTGGCCTGCTCGCCCGTGGACTGCCCCATCACCTGCACCTACCCTTTCCACCCCGACGAGGAGTGCTGCCCCGTGTGCCGAGGTGAGTGGGACCCGCCGCCCCACGGCCGAGGCTCCCGGGTGGGCCTCTGCTCTCACGGCCTCTCCTCTGCCCCCACAGACTGCAACTACGAGGGCCGGAAGGTGGTGAATGGCCAGGTGTTCACCTTGGACGACGAGCCCTGCACCCAGTGCACCTGCCAGGTGAGTGGGGCTCGGGTCTGAGTCACCTGCCGAGTCGAGGGTTGGCTGCTTCCAGGCACCCACGGCGACTGCTTGGCCCTGCTGCTCAGGGGAGCCTAGGCCTTGCACCCTCTGGCCCAGGGTCTCCCTGTGGGTCCTGCTGCGGGTGCCTGAGCTTGCCGCCTCGTGGGGCGGCGGCGCGGGTTGCAGTGCGGGATGGGAGCACGTCCCTGTAGGGGCCGTGGAGCAGTGAGGCAGCCCGCAGGGAGGGCCGTCTCGTACTTGCCTAGAGCCAGCGTCAGGGAAGACGGGCCAGCGCCCGGGGGTGTGTGCACGCAGGCAGGGCACATCGGAGGCGGCATCGCCTGGTGCCTGCCAGGCTGGAGTGACCGGGCGTTGCCCGGGGGCGCCAGTGTTCCTGCTCATCAGAGCCCCCATCTCCTTTCCCTGTTCTTACCCAACTCCTGCTAACCCTGGGGGAAGGTGTTCTAGCTGGTCTCGCTATCTGGCCGCAGACCTGCTGCTGTTTTCAGCAGGTTCCTCATACCTGGACTTTTGCCCTGGTGAGGGGCCCCTGCCTAACCAGCAGGAACTCCGGGCAGCAAGACAACAGCCGGGACTGCACCCCAGGGTGCTGCTCGGGGGGTGTCCTGCGCCTCCTCAGAGTGTCCTTCTGCTCCGCAGCTGGGAGAGGTGAGCTGTGAGAGGGTCCCCTGCCACCAGGCCTGCACAGACCCCGCCGTGCGCCCGGGCGACTGCTGCTCGTCCTGCCCAGGTAACGGGGCTTGGTGCTGGGGATGCCCTCGCTTCTCTGCCCAGAAGCATGGAGCGTGTCGAAGGGCTGCGTGTGAGAATCCTTCTCAGAGAGGGCGCGTGGCTGGCTCTTGGCCACACAGCGTGTGTGGGATGGGCTGGCGCTGGCCCTGGTCACCGACGCTGGCCGTGACGGGCTGCCCGGCAGGGGTCTGCTGTTCCTTTTCCTTCTGCAGTGTCTGCTTGTCGTCTCTTCTTCCGCTTCCTTTGTCCCTAAGTAGTAACATGTTGGGAACTGAACCAACTTTGCAGAAGACTGGCAGCTAGTGTGTGTTGAGTGCTCGTTGAGCCCTCAGGGAACGTCCTCATCTTTCTCCGTCTCACAGCAGCTTTGAGACAGGGACCTTTTCCTCCCCATCTCCCAGGTGAGGCTCAGAGAGGTGGGGTGGCGAGTCCAAGGTCACATAGCTGATTGGCGGTAGAACCAAGAAGTGAGCCCAGAGTTCACTAGACTCCTGAGTCTTCTCTTTCTCTGTCCTTCGTGTTTCCGGGGCAGGCGGGGATCGAACTCATGCTGCAGTGGCTTTAGCATCCCAGTGCTGTGCTGTAACCCGCTGCGCCACCAGGGAGGGCCCCGTTTTATTTTGTTCCTTCCATCATGGACGGCAGCTCGTCAGCCCCCTTTTTTTCCTTTTAAAATTCGTGAGCTGTGTTTGGACCCTCTGGTGAATAGGGGGTGAATAGGGTCAAAGGGCAAGGGGGAGCGGCTTGGTGATGCCTCTGACTGGCAGGTGACACAACCACCTGGATCCTAGAGAATCCAGAGGAAATCAGGGTCCCGGAGAAGGAGGGAGTCAGCTCGCCATCGTCTGGCCACACTTTGAATCTGGTTTTTCACATTGGCATGTCCAGAACGAGCCTTGAGGACGGCGGGTCCCCTTCTTGCCGAGGCGCGACCGACATGCGCTGGCTCCCCGAGTGCAGGGTGACCGGGCTGTGCACGTCATCAAAGACCCTCCCAGCCCCTGCTGTTAGACGCACCCCGAGCCGCTGGGCGACGTCCCCACTCAGGCGCGGCAGCCCCGGGTACTTATTTTGAAGCTGGAAGTTACTTCACGGGATGTTTTTTAAAGTTCCAGGGAGACGGGAGTCTTCCTGCTGACCTGGGGCCCGGATTTCTTCTGGTATGAAACGTCTGTTTCACCCCTGTGACCTCCGAAGGGGCCGGGCTGCATGGGGATCCTGGACTTCAGAGGCTTCTACAATGACAGCTTCTCCGTCACTTTACCCACAGGCACCTCAGCAGGTGGTGGGGGGTTGTTCTCCCCGCTTTCCAGAGGGGGAGTCTGCCTGGAGGTGTGAGACGATGTAATCAGACTTTACCTGTATCACTCCTGGGGCAAAAATTTTGGAAAAAAAAAAAAAAGATTAACTAGGAAAAAGAAACAAAACCAAAAAAGATAAGGCGAAGGAGGAAAAGAAAGAAATGGGTGCCAGCAGCCCCCAGCACGGCCGCCATGTTCTTGTTAAGTCTCGAGTTGGTGCTGGAGCGAAGCCTTCAGAGTCCTTCCCGGCCTCCAGATGGGGAAACCGAGGCCCAGAGAGAGGGGTGCATGTCTCAGGCCTCTTCCTCCCCCTCCCTGAGGAGAGCTGCCTTGAAGGGTGTTGGGCTAGAAGAGGTGCTGTGTCCTTGGAGTCATTAGAGACTAAGTGCTTTCTTTTAAATATTTTTTTTGGTGTAGAAGAACTGGGGTGCAGGCCAGAGGTGTGGTGGGTGAGAGGATTCCCCAGAGACAGAGTGGGGAGCAGAACAGGCAGATGACTGGAATCCACTGCTGAGGGGAGCAGCGGGAGACAGGAAGGGTCTGCTGCGCCGTGGGGGTCCCTCCGGCCAGGGAGGGGACTCAGGGTTCGCGGTGCCAGTGCTGAGCCGTAGCCCCGGGCCCCAGGGAGGCCCTGTCACTGCTGTCTGAGGGCTCCGTCCACGTCTGTCCAGCTAACACGCGGAGAGCACAGCCAGCGGGCGCGGCCTCTTCCCAGGGCTGTGATCGCCCTGTGGGTGACTTGAGAACTCCCATCTCCCGGCTCTCCTCTGCTCGATGTCCGGGGAGCCCCCCTACCCCCCCCACCTGCTGCTTCTCTGGCTCTTCACTCTCGCCCTGTCCCGCTCGGCCTCTTCCTTCCCTGGTTCTTCTCCCACGTGTGCCAGGCTCCAGGCCAAGATGGAAAGAGCGTTTTTTTCAATAGAGTTTATTCCTCGGAACGGCTTTAGGCCCCTCAGGGCCCCACGGCCCTGCCCCCCGCACTGGGCATCTTAACCAGATGCCCCTGGTGTCTGCTCGCCTGGACTGGGCTTCCAGGCCCCGCTGGACTGGGCCCTTGGGGCGGCCTCCTGCTGCCCTACTCTGCCCCTTGCCGATGGGGGTGCGGAGGCGCCAGGAGTCGCTCGCCTTACACAGGGCACACAGCAATGCCCGGCAGAGCCGCTGGTGCCCTGCCTTCACGCGCCCTTTGGGGGCCACTCTCAGAGGACAGAGCATGACCCCTGTCCTCGGAGGCCCCACCGTGGCCCCCACCGGGGAGCACCGCCGTGTCTTACTTCCCTCCTCTCTAGATTCGCTGTTTCTTCTGGAAGAAAGGAGGGAGCTGTCCCCTCGCGGAGCCTCGGAGTTCAGCCAAGTGGCCCAGAGCCCCCGGGGAGACACCGAGGCCCCTGTCAACTGTAGCTCCTGCCTGGATCCCCCCACAGGGGCGCCTCAGAGGCCGGCTCTCCAGCTCTTCCAGCTCCTGTTCGGAGGGAACCTGACCCGGGCGCACACTTTCACCACGAGCCCCTCAGGAGCCCAGGCCTCTCCCCCAGCCCCTTTGGGGCCAGGAGACACGCTCCCTGGGGCGCACGGCACCTCCCGCCCCCCTCGCCCCTCCCCAGGGCCTTCGGTCCCTGCAGGAGCCTCCTCTCTGCCTCCAGCTTCCCCCGGGGCTCCTGGAACAACTCCTGGTACACCAGAACCGGCCCCCTCGGCCTCCGGGGCCCAGGAGGCACCTGGACAGCCTTCTCTGCCTGCCACCGCCCCGACGGAAGCTCCCACCTTTTCCTCCACAATTCCCAGCCCCTCTGAGAACCCCACCACCTTCCTGAGGCCTCCTAGACTCTCTCCCACCGTCTCCAGGCTCTCGTTGGCCCTCGCAGGCCCGGCCAGCCCACAGGAACCTCCCACAGGGTCCTTGATGGAGGAGGAGGCCGCTGAGTAAGCAGGACTGTGCCTGGGGGCTCCGGACACAGAAAACTCTGGGAGCTGCAGGGCGACCCTGGGACGGGGAGCCACGACCCTGAGACCTCCCCCAGGCTCCTGGCTTGATGGCGAGTCCCCGGGGCGCAACAGCCTCGTTCTGAAGCATTTGGAATGTGCTGTGAGAACTGAAGTGTCCTCCCGGGTCATCATCTCCTGGACAGCCTGGCCCGCTTGTCTTTGGAGGAGGGTTGTGGGCACTGAGCCCCGTCTCCGCAGGAAGAGAATCAGGGGGGCCTGGGCCGCGGGTGGGATGGGACCACCTCTGTGTCTGCCCCCCAGGTTTCCTGATTAAAGGCTAGCTCAGTCCCCGCCACCCGGGCCGCCTGCTCAGTCACCTCGCCTTTGGAAAGGGGACAGGTCACTCCAGGCCCACGTAGGTGAACTACTCAGCGAAGTCTTCGGCTCCGATGTGAACTCCTCCTTTCAGCGAAGTCTGGATCCCACCAAGCAGGGGTGTTAGATCGTGGGTGAACACAGCCCGCATTTCCCCCTACCCAGGATCTCACGCTTAGGGCCTGAGCGTGGGGTCACTGTGCCCCTAGCCTGCGCCGGGGTCACGGGGCTGAGGAGCCCCGGGACGGTCAGAGCATCAGACATGGCTCCAGGACCTGACGCTGGCCTGGCTACTGGCTGAAGGGCTTGAAGACCAGCCACCGTAGGTGCTAAGTAGGGGAGATGGTCAGAGCTCAGGCATACCTTTCACCAGCTTACTTGGAACGTGCCGATGGTCGGTGCCCAGAATTAAAATACGTCAAATTGCCTGTGGTGGGACGTTGCCCCAGCCACATCTCCTGCGGCCTCTGGTTCTGGGGTCCCTTCTGGTACTCACACATGGGTCAGATGCCGGCGAGAGGATGGACATGCATGTCCAATTACTTTCCTTTATAATCAAGCTCCTACGCTAGGCGCTGGGGTCACCTGCCTTGTCCGGGGACAGCCCCCTGTCTCCACACCCCCTGTCTCCAGAGAGGACACTCAGTGTCCTCTCTGCAGCTGGGCCCCGGCTCCACACCCCTGTACTGTCAGCTGTAGAATCATCCCTCGTGGCTGGACGTCCGGGCGGTTTCCAGTCTTGTGCTCACAAAAGACGCTACGAAGAATAGCCCTGTGCTGACATCATTTTTGCACGTGTGCAAGTCTGTTTTCAGGATGAATTCCCAGAAGTGAAATGACTGGGCTGCAAGACATGTGTGTGTCTCGTTTTGATAGATAAATGAGGCTACCAACATGTGAGAAGTTGCCTTCAGGGAGGGGTTGCGTTCCACTGGTGGTTAGATGGAGGCCTTGAGATGAAATGAACATCCTGGGTAAGCATGAAAGATGGGGGAGCTGTGCTGAGCCCCTCAGGCCCCAGCAAAAGGGGGAGATGAGCAAAGACAAGGCCTGAGACTGTAGAACAGAGACGTGACTCCTTCTTACCGGGAGGAGCAAAGTGGGCGTTGTCGGGCAGATGTCAGCGCGGGGTCCACAGTGCAAGTGGCCTGTCTAGTGGGGAGCCTCTTTCCACTCTGGATGGAGGAACCCCAGGGTGAGGGAATGGAAGAGGGGCTGGGAGGGGAGGCAGGGGAGGGAGGCCTGCAGCTGCCAGGCTGAGGAGGGGGAGGAGGAAGGAGCAGGAAGACAGGGCGGTCCCAGGACACCTGCCTGCGTCCCCAGAGCCTAGCTCCCCGCCTGACTTCCAGGAGGTCTCCAGAAGTGTCAGAAAAACCGCCACAGCCGAGGACCCAAGACCTCATAACATTCCTCCCCAGAAACCTGAGAAGTTCACCTGCTCGTCCCCGGATGAAATATGACAGGGACAGAATATTGAGGGGACACATCTGTTAAAAAGGGCAGCTTGAGTTCATCACTCAGCCGGCGAACAATTACTGAGCACCTACTCTGGCTGCCAGTGGCTGCAGGATCGTGGCCTCGGCCCTGGCAGGGCTGAAACAGCGCCCCGGGGGGTGCTTGGCAGCTGGCCCTGCGAGGCCCACGGAGGCCAGCACTGGCAGTAGGTGGCCTGGAAGCCGCCTGGGCAGGCGGCTGAGCCCCCAGGGCACTCTCAAAGCTGGGGGACTGCTCCAGTGATGTTTAAGCTGAAGTCTGCAGGGTGCCAGGCATTAGGTCAGGGGAAAGAGAACAGCGTGTGTGCCAAGGTCTGGAGGTGGGTGTGCTGGGCAGGGGGGCCAGGCCAGGCAGGGAAGGACCGAGGGCACCAGACCACAGGGCTTGGTAACCCCCAAGGCTCCTCGCCTTTTTGCAAACGCCATGACCAGGCATTCGCTTATCGCACTCTCTCGCCCGGGAGGGCGCTATCAAAGTGTTGCATGAAGATGGTGCAGCCGTGGACAGTGGGCTCGAGAGTGCCCCGAGCAGGCCTGGGGCATGGGCACTACAGCTCACCCACCTGCCTACCATCTAGCATCATGCACTTACGGCCTTACTCCATAATCCAGCCATGGCCACATATAACGATACGATTCTTACAGCAGTTGTGATAGTTACCTACCTACACGCAGGACCGGGTGGAACAGCTCAATTTCCAGCAAAGCCGTTGTTTGGGAAAGAAGCCCTTGGGACTCTCCTACCGGATCCAGAAAGTAGCATCTTCCATTCTTGGTTTGAAACTCTGCGTTTCATTGAACATCTTGCCACCCAGATCACTCTGAAAATTTTTTTTTTAAAGCTCTAATTGACTTTATTCAGTGATTCCCGCATCCGGCAGCTTGCCCTCGCGTGTGTGAGTGAGGAGCTGTGTGCGTGTGAAATGACAAGTGGGGCGATGTAGCAAGGCGGTGGCTAAAGCCTGGGCACCCCAACATCACCCCCTCAGCAGGAGGCTGCAGCCCAGGCGTGTCTCCCCGCTGGCAGCCAGCTGCTGCAGAGCAGGGAGCTGGGGTGCCCTCCTCGGGCACAGGGCTGTGGCTGGTTTCCCAGCAAAGGAGGGGCTGCAAGCCAGCGCTGCAGGGTCCCGGTGGCACAAACCCTGCGGGCGGCTCCAGGCCCTTCTTCCGGAACGTGGCCTGAGAACCTCAGGGGAGGGCCTGAGCCTGAACGCTCTGTTCTTGTTCTGCTCTTTTCTGCTCTTTGCGCGTCATTGAACCTACTGGTGCCAGCCCACGCTGAGAAGCAGCTCTGCTCCAGACAGCTCCTGCAGGGCGGGTCGCTGAGAAGCACGCTCAGTTCCGCCCCATGTGCCAGCTGTGCCCGGCCTGGGGCGCCTGATGGGCAAAGGGCCCCTGCAGAACCCTGCACCTGCAGTGCTGAGGGTCTGGGCCACGCAGCCGTGAGAGTGCAGCTTGGTAGGTGCTGACCGCCCTCTGCCGCCCACTCTGGCCTGCGTCTTCCAGGCAACGGGCCTTGGAGACCTCACTCCGTGGCCACCTCCCCTGGCGCTTTTTCCTTTTTCACGATTTCATGTGGTTTGGGGAGAAATACGACGCTGACCCCCCCAACGAGAAACTTAGCACCCTGTTGTATCAGGAGGCAATAGCCAGCATTTCTGGTCCCCAAGTCTTTGGGACGCGCTCCTGGCAGGGCCCGCCGGTCTTCCCGGCTCCAGGGGCCACGGTCTTGCCGGCTGTGTCGGAGCTCAACGTCCAGTCCCAGCACCGGGCGCCCCCGGCGCCTGTGGCCATTTCTGGGCCCCCACCCCCGTATTCCGGGCCCCATGCTGTGACGGAGACGCACCCACAGAGAGCCACTCGCCACAAGACACGTCTTTCAGGGGCTGTTTTATTCTACATTACTGGTGAGTGACAGGGAAGGGCAGGGCGTGCGCTCCAGGATCCCAGTAAGAACCACGAGGACCGTTCCTGGGAGCGAGGAGGCGGCGGGTGGGGCCGGGGGCTTAGGCGACTGGAGCCAGGCCCACCTGGTTGTTGGCCCTGTCGAAGACGGCGTAGTACTGGCGGATGAAGACGTCACCCAGGATCCAGAGCTCGCCAGAGGCGGTGGGAATGTTCATGCCCTGCAGGCCGCTGGCGCAGCTCTGCCCACTCTGGAGACAGAAACAGAGGGTGGACACGGACTCAGGGGGCAGCCCCAGGCCTGCTGGCTTGCCGCGGGGCGGGGGAAGGAGCTTCCTGGCTGGTGTCGGGGCCTGGCTCCTCCTGGCCGGGCTTGCCTGCATCAGCTGGTCACTGGGCTGTTGGTTCCCAGGGATCACTAGACAGTATTCAGGGCTTCTGGCAGAGGCGCAAGCCCTGAGGTCAGCAGTGTTGCTCAGGGGCTTAGGGGGAGCTCAGCTGCAGAATGGCCTGGAAGCGCTGGTGGTGCAGCCTTTCCCTATTACTCAGCTCCCACCCAGGGGCACAAACCAGCTGGGTCTTTGGTATTTTCATTCACTGGTTCAGCGACCATGGCCGCAGGCGAGGATCACTGAGAGCTTTGAAAACCCCCGGCTCAGGCTTCACCCCCTATTCTATCAGCAGGTTGGGGGCACAGAGCCTCAGTACTTCCTCCTGAGCAGTGGGACCCCGTTGGGCAAAGCTAGTTCTCCAGCTGGCATTCTGCGAGAAAGCAGTTCCCTGTGGCTCGTGTGGCGCAAGGCTGTTTCTTGGTAGAGACAGCGAGGAGGTTCTGAACCCTCATCCAGAGTCCTTGGTGGCTCTGATGTGGGGTCTTGCTGGAGGCCTTAGCCACATCCCAAGCGTGCTCTGATATTAGGCCCCGGGGCTGGGGTCAGGTGTTCCGGCAGCATCTTCCCCTCATACCATCACCCTCACCTCACCTGAGTGCTGCCTACATCCTCAGTCGCCCACGGCTGGACTTGACCGTCCCCTTACTCTCCGTGCAGTGTGGGTGTCAGCTTCAGGTGCTGCAGCTCACTTCCCTCAGGCCAAGGCTGAGCACGTGGGCACACTGTTGGGGCCGGAGACCCCTTACCTGCATGATGTAGGCGCTGGCGGGCACAGGGAACTGGATGCCGTTGAGGGTGAAGACGATGTCAGGCAGGCTGCTGATGGATGAGCAGCTGACCATCATCTAGAAGGAAGGAGGGTTAGCTGGCCTCTTATCACCACGCACTTGGGTCAGAACCACTGGCCACTTGCCGTCAGGCCCAGCTCACCTGGCCGTTTGCATTCTGGGTGGCGCCAATGAGGCTCTGGATGTTGTTGATGGCGTTGACGGGGCCGGACAGCAGAGAGGTGCCGGTGTCCACGATGGCCTGGCAGCCGCCGTTGCAAGCGATGCTCTGTCCGTTCATGGTGATGCTGAGGGCCAGATGCAAGACGGGTCCCCTGAGTGCCCAAGTGCGTCTCCCCAAAGAGGAACCAGGGGGCCTGGAGGGCCCCTGCTCCCCAAGCACTGGCCAATCCGTAACATGTTAGCGTCTCCCATGCACTCATCCGTGCATGCCTCTTCTCTGCAAATACGTCCCGATCCCCCATTCTGCGCTGGGTGGGGCAGACGCAAAGCCAGGTGAGACAGCACCCAGGTCTGACTGCAGAGGCTCGCGGCCCAGCAGGGAAGGTAGACCCGGGTGGAGGACAAGCCGGAGAAGGCTCTGCAGACCCCAATCTGCCAAGGAGGCGAGAGCTGAAGGAGGGTGGACGTGGCAGGGGAGTGAGGGCGGCAGACCAGCAGGGCGTCTTGGCGTGAACCCGCACACTGCAGCGTAGCTGGGCAGGTGCCACCCCGGTGTCGGGGCTGAGTCCCCAGACTTGCACCCCGGGAAGCTGCCCCCTGCAGGCCAAGCCTGGAGACGGTCGCCTCCTGGTGAGCGAGACGCCTTGGCGGTGGCCTGAGGGCTCCGGCCACTCTGCCCTATTCTTACACAGAAAGGCACTTTGTTCCTGGGGCGGGGGGCGTAGGTGTGGGTTCCCAGGGCCCCTAAATGCCGACCGGTGTGGACCGGCGGAGGCACAGGGGCTCCCCCTGGGGATGCTGGTGGATGTCCTGTCTCCTGGCCGGGAGGAACGTGGCTATCTCCTGGCCAGGCATCCGGGGTCTGAGACAGCTCCCCTCGTCCAGGCACAGGCTTTTCTTGGGGGGTCTCTCGGCTAGGCCCACCCCCACCTTCTCTTGGCTGTTCTGGGGAGTGGGTGAGGAAGGGGATCCGGGGCCCAGGCTGGGACTCTGCCGCCCACGGCGCCGTCACCTGTCCACGGTGATCTGCCAGTAAGTCTCGGAGGACAGAGGGATCCAGTTCAGGGTGCCGGTGTAGTAAGAGGAGTCAATGCCGCCGAAAATCACCACGCTGCCGCTCTCGTCGTTGCTGTGGGGAGTGGGGGAGACAGCAGGTCACTCGCCTGGGACGCTCTGAGCCTCCGCCTGGCTCAGACCCGCCCTGGGGGCCTCGCCGGCGCAGGGCAGTGCTGGCCGACGGTCATCTCCACTTCACAGCCCCGAAAGCCCGGCTCAGCGCGGCGAGGCTGCTCGCCCAGGACGCCCAGCCCGGGAGTGGCCGAACCGAGACCTTTCTGGCTCCCGAGTGCGTGTTTTCCAGCACCTACTGACTCCCATTGCCGTGGGGCCCCGGAGGGGAGTGGGGGCACGGCTGTTTGCCCCCAAGGACCCCACTGGTTCTCAGCGGGGGCTGCTTCGCCTCCTGGGACCCTGGCCAGTGTCCAGAGACATTTCTGAGTGTGGGGTGGGCGACACCGCTGCCCGCAGGTCACAGGACAGCCGGCAGCCAGGAGTCCTCGCTTCAAAGTGTCACCTGGAGAGCCGGGGGGCTCCGGGCCCCCCAAAGGGGAAAGTGTTTAAGAGCCGACTTGAAGAATAACCGGCCGAGGGGGAGGGCGCACGAGGGAGTTCCTGTTGCTAATTGTCTCTGTCCCTACTCACTTCCTACACCTCTGCTGTTTCCGCTGAGAACCGAGGATGATGAGAAACGAATCACTGTAGAACAGGCCACAGACAAGCGGCCGCTCGCCTTGCCACAGACACTGGCGGCACAAGGCCACGCCGTGCCGTGAGGCCACAGCTCCACAGTGGCCGTGGAAGGCAAGTGGCAGATCTCTTGGGCAGAGAAGGATCTGCAGGGGCGGGGCGAGGCCCCCAGATATTCCCACCCGCACCTCTCCTCCCTCCTAGCCACGCTCTGATGATTCCTTCCTCGTGCTTCGGCGTGCACGTGCCCAGAATCCCGTGTTGTTAAGAGAGGTGCTGGCATTGTTTTAAACCGTTTTCACGGTTCAAGATAGAAATCCTGATCAGATTTTCTTTCTTTTTTTTTGGCTATGGGATTCCGGCCCCTGTCTGAGAGGGGTTCGCTCGGAAGGGCGGGCTGGAAGGTGGCCACAGAGGGCTGGTGCTGGAGAGCAGAAGAGAGGCCGGAGCCACTGGCGCTGTGAGTCAGCAAGTGAGGCGCAGAGACAAGCCCGTCCCTGCAAGGAGGCGTCCCCCCACTTTAGACTTCACACCTGGCAGAGCCCCAGCTTGCAAACTCCTCCTCTCTCCCACCCAGCCCTGGGCCCCCGCAAGGGCCCGGGGACCAGGGGACCCCGGAAGGCCCCTCCCCGGGGGACTTACGGGCTCAGGTACACAGAGAACAGGTCTTGGGGAACCAGGCCCTGATTCCACATGTTGTCAAAGACGGGGGTGGCCCCGGAGGAGGAGATGCTGGGGTAGGCCAGACCCAGGATGCCGTCGAAGGGGGCGTAGTACAGGAAGGAGCCGGGCTCGGTCTGGCTCAGGCCGAAGATCTGGTTGGTGTCAGCTATGCCGGCGACCTAGGTGGGGCCAGCGAGTTCACGTTCCGGCCACTTGGGTCGTGCGGGCCGAGCACGGTGGGGACCCCAACCCTGCACCCCTCCCAGAGCATCCGTGGCTGGTCCATACAGGACTCAGCTTCCTGGGGGCCTCAGGCTGGAGAGGGGACCCAGGGCTGCCCCCGCAGGGCTGGTGGGGACATGGTGCACCTGGAGCTTGCGTGGTCACTGTGCGTGTGGGTGATGGGAGGCAAGGCCGATTGGAGCCCAGCACCCCGCTGTGCGCTGGGGGCGCCCACGCAGATGGAGCCTTTGTGAGGGGAGTGGGGGGTTGGAGGGGGCGGGTTGCCGATGACAGGGAGGAGGGGAGAGGCCTGGAAGGAGCTGAGGCTTCCATTTCCCCCTGCTCCTCCTCCTGAGGGCTCCCCCGGGGCCTGGCTGAGGCTGCCAGGGTCTGGTGAGTGCTCCCCACCCCTCACCCACAAATGTCTGTGCCGTCCCTGCTACTTTCCCTCCCTCAGCCAGGTTGTTTCGGGGCTCGCTGAGCCCCGCTGGGTTGGAGGAGCTGGTGTGGGGTGCGCCGTGGCCCGCAGGCTCCCGGGGCTTACGTGGACGGTGTCGTATCCGAGGATGCCGGTCATGCTGCCGGTGCCGTAGGCGACGGACAGGGTCTGGCTGGTGGGCTGGTAGGTGGAGGACTTCTTGGGGTTGAAGCGGTTGTGGTTGGCTGCCGGGCAAGAAGAGACAGGTCAGCTCCAGAAGCTGAGCTGGAGTCAAGCCTGGGGGTGCTCTCCTGGGGTCGGGGTGCATGTTGGCTGGGGTGGTTTTAGAGGAGGAAGGCCCCCTCTTCCAGACCTGGTGCCCGAGCACCCCAGGTTCCACCCCCGTCTGACTGAACCAGTTGGGGCCACCTCGCTCACTGACGGAGGTTTCCAGAGCTGACCCCACGCCCCCCCTTCCCCAGAAGCCCCCAGGTGGCTGTGAGCAGCCAAGTCACAGTTCCGGGGTGAGTTCAGCTTGTTACAAGCTGGAGGCTCCCAGGGCAGGAAAGACAGGCAGGGGGGGACGGGGCTGGAACACCGCCCTGACTTCCGAGCACAAACCCTCTCCCCGGGGCAAACGGGGGAGTCCTCCGGGGTCGCCTGGGCTCACTCATGAGCTGTTTTCTCCTCTTGTCACCCCACCCTGGAGCCCCACAACCCTGGCCCCCTGTGATTATTCAGGACAGCGTCTCCCCCATGGACTGAGGTCCTCGAGGACAGGGATTGCCTCCTTTTCCCGTGGGGGACAAGCCCTGGGCTTGGTGAGTAGTAGGGGCTCGCAAAGGTTTGTCGACTGACTCGCTGGGTGACACCAGCAGATATGCGGCTGGACCCATTTGAAACCCCTGAGTATTCCCGGGTCCTCGGTCATTGGTGCCGGGGCCCAGGCAGGGTGGACACTCACTGCAGGCAGGGCTGGAGCAGTAGATGGAGGGCACCCACAGGTTGGAGGAGCCGGTGTCAAAGATGACGGTGAAGTCCTGGGCGGGGGTTCCGATGGTGATGGTGCCGAAGTACTCGGTCTGCGGGCGGGGACCGCACAGTTCAGGCCTGGGACGCTCTACCCTGGGCCTCCCCAGGAAGCACCTTTGACCTGTGTCCTCAGACCACCTCCTGCCTTCCCCACACGCCTCTTGGCTTTCTTTCCCCGTCCTGTCCTGGGCCTTCATCCTTTATGACCCAGCCTGGTGTCCCCTCCTCCTTGAAGTCTTCCTTGATGGCTCCCTCGTGACCCTCTGACTGTTCCTGCCGGTGTACCATGAACACCTCATAGTAATCAGCTGACCCCTCTTCTGCTCTTGTGTTGTGTGTCTCAGTCTTATCCTCCTAGAGAATATATGTTCTTGGAGGACAGGATAAGTCATCAAGTTATTGATAGGGAGATAAAAATGTTACCTAAAGACGGAAACTCCTCAAGACAGATCTTCCCTAATTCTAGGGTTCAAGAAAGAGCATTACAATATTTTAGTGGCTGCGCTTTCTTTCCACTTGTTTCCAGTCAGCTGGTCTAGATGAGGACCAGCTCACTCCTACCCCAGGGCCTTTGCACATGCTGTTCCTTTTGCGAGGAAAATGTTTATTTTAGCTCATTCTTTGGGTACTCGTTAACCCTTCAGCATCCTTGCCAAATGCTACCCTCACCGAGAAGTCTTACTTGATCATTTCTCTAAAACTGGCTCTCTCAGTCTTCTTCTTCCCATTATTTTAATTAATTTTTACTTGTCATTTCCTGAAATTATGTTACATATTTATTCATGGGCCTCTTGTTAAAAAGACAAGCAATAACTTTGCTTCGTCGCCCTTCCTCGCCCTTCCTGGCACACAGTAGGCACTTCATAAATCCTGAGGTGGGTAAATGGGCCTACTACCAAGCACTCGCCGAGGGCCGGGCCCTGCGCTCAGCACGCTGGGAGAACTAGGCTGCATTTGTCCATGCAGTAGCTCTGCTATCAGCGGGTCTCTTTAGGGGGAGCAAGGTGAGCTGCATTGAGAGCGCCTGGAGGACCTGCCTCAGTGGCTCACAACTGGGAGCCCCGGGCCCGGCTCGGCGCTGGTCTGCAGGCTCACAGGGCACGTTCTTAGCCACGGAGCTTTGAACTGTCTCCTCTGAGTGGTCTCCTGTGAACCGCCCTTTGCCATTCAGAGGAGATACTTGGGTCGGTGTGATCTTCCTGGAACTCACCCCGCTCACATCAACCCCCCCAGCTCTGCTCTCTGTGGGCACTGGCCTCCTGTCCCCAAATGCACACTGACCCCTGTGTCAGGGGTGTACAGGTCCCCCGCTCTCTGGGACTCTCTGACCCCCTCAGTGTGCAGCCTTATCCTGGGGGTTCATTACCCCAGCCGTGGGTGTTGCATTTCTTCCCCTGCTAGACCTGGTGCCTGGGAGGGCCCGGCTGTGTCTGGCAGAGTCCCTGCTGCCTCTCCTGGGTCTAGCATGGTGCCTGACACATACAGAGGCTTCCCAGACAGCGAATGGAGGGAAGAAGAGATGGATGAATGAGAGCGAGCGCTCTGACCGGGGCTTTCCTGACTCCCTGGCTGCTGAGCTCCACAGACGGCCCCTGGCTTCTGCCTGCCTCTGTGTGTGTGTGTGTATGGGGGGCTGAGAGCCCCCCGCTGCCTTGCCGCCTGCTCCAGCACTCACGTCCATGAAGTTGACCAGGGGCTGGGTAGCGTCCAGGGAGGCAGCCAGTGAGGGGAAGTACTTGCTGGCCGGGTTGATGCTGTGAGTCTTCAGGAAGTTGTCCAGCAGGCCATTCTCCATCAGGTTCTGCCTCAAGGACTTCTTCCTGACCAGAGGAACCCTGCGGAGGATATTCACAAGTGCGTGTGAGGACCCAGAGTAACAAGGCAAGGAGCGCTGGGCCCTCTTCCCAGGAGAAAAGGAAGCTGGTCCAGAGAGGAGGAAGGGAGGGGGTCACGGGACATGAGGAGATGCGGAGGGGTGAAGGGGGCCAGGTGGCCGGAGCTGCGAGCGGACTCGAGAGCCGTGTGGTGACCATGCGAGCGGCCTCCAAAGGGCAGAGAGCGAGACCAGGCAGGAGACCCGAGAGGGCCAGGGAGAGTGGAGCGAGCTGAGGAAAAGGGGGAGAAACCGTGGGAGGAAGCGAGGTGAAGGCTCGCCCCAGGGAAGCAGGTCTGAGGGCGGCGGCCGGCACTCACTTGTACAGGCACTCAGAGAGGGCCACCAGGCCCAGCAGCAGCAGCCACTTCATGGTTCTTCCCGGTCCCAGGTCTCCAGAGAATGGAAGATGGGAGGAAGGTGTACAGGGCAAGCGGCTGCTGTGCCTTATATACAGCACCCGCGCTCCCCAAAGCGCCTTATCGCCCCTGGTGCCACCCCCTGCTCCACCCCAATCAGAGAGTTTCCCGATAAGATTGTCCCCACCCTCGAGCCGGTGCCGAGAAGTTTCCAGTTGAGTAGATTTCCATTGTGCCCACATCCCACATGCCCACATGCCGGCAGAGAGCGAGGCCGGAGGGAGGCCGACTTCTCTTGCTTGCTGAATGTTTAGACAAAATGGGGCGAAAAGGCACGTCCTGTGGCACGCATGGCCAAGAAGCTCATGGGCTGATTTGTTCTGGTGCGACACACAGCTGGGGGTTTTGAGGGTAGTGCCCCAACTTCACGATGGGCTACATTCCTGCTACCCCAAAGCACGGTGGTGGGCTGGCGGTTGGGGCTGAGGACTCACTTCCCCACAGAAACGTGAGGACATGGGGCTGTTGAGGGGGCTCACACGCTCGCCCCTGGTGGGGCTGGGCTGAATCCTGAGGTGTGTGCGAGACAGAGGGAGACAGAGGGAGATGAGCAGCGGAGCAGGTGGAAGGAGGCTGCGTTTCTTTCCTGGAGGAGCCAAACTTGAAGTGGGCTGGTCTTTGGAAGCTGGCCCCTCACTTTGAACCACCTCTCTGCTCTCACCCTCTCAGAGGGCTTGAACCTTCCACTTTTGGGATCCCGCCTGGGTTGGACTCTTCTGGGAACAGGCTTAAAACTCGCTTGAATCAACGGCAGAGGAGCGAAGCAATTTGGGCAAATTCTCACTAGAGTGTGAATGACTTAGAAAAGATCTCTTCTTATAAGAGTCCCCTAACCAACTGCAGGGCGTCTACTTGCCAGGGTTGACTCAATGGACAGTGGGGAATGAAGACTTTGCTCTGGGGGTTGGTGCAGAGGGAGATATGTGTGAAGTCACCTGAAGCTCTTGTTCTAAGTCAGAGTCCCTGGTTTTTCTAGCTGCCGCAGACACAGCTCCTGTAACATTTCAGATTTCCTCCAGCGCATGGAGGGGTAGGCAGAGTGGCTTAGGGACAGACCCGTGGTGACCAGAGCATTTGCATGTCCAATTCACCTGTGAAATCATGGCCCTGCTTTCATGTTCACATCTTGGGGGGCTGCTTCCTGCCCTTCCCCTCTCCTTCTCGAGCCTGTCTCCTTTGTCTCTACTCTTCCTTGGGGTGGATCTCAGCACTGAGTGGGAAGAAGGGGTGGCCCTGGAGCCGCCCGCCCAAGTCCCAGAGCTCAGAGGGGAGCCCCCAGCTCAAGGCTGCCCCTGGGAGGGAGGCAGCAGGTGGGGGTCTTTGTGCAGGGGTGGGGGTACTCCTCAGGCCCTCCAGAGGTGACTGGAGCCTTACGCCGGCGGTGGCACAGGTGGGCATCGTTCCTCCCCGAGCTTGATGCTGTGCACGGCTGAAATGGCCCATAACATGTTTCCCAAGAAGAAAGAAAGGAGGACTGAGAGTTCTGGGCCTCCTTTCCAACGTGGGAACAGAGGGAGCTGGGGCTGGGTGGTAGTGGGGTCTGCAGGAGGCCCTCGGGCTTGAGATGCAGGAATGAACCCCCCAGAACGTCAACGTGCTTTACTCGGCTTCATCTCCCACGTGGCACACGGAGGTCCTTGCCACGGTGCATGTTTTATTTATTTCGCAGTAGTAGTGTGCTTTTACTTTCTCCATGGGTCACTTGCTTAGAATCCTGAGTGAACTTAGGAAACATATTCTTCATGTTTCTAAAATGAACATATGATTAAAGACATTTGTCATGTGCAGGTAACGACTTTAGAGGTTCTGTTTCTTGGTGTTCATCTATAATTTCCTCCCTCCCTCCCTTCTCCTTCCCCTCCCTCTGTCCCCTCCCCTCCCTTCTTTCTTCCCTTGTTTCCTTCCTAACCAGGGAATGTTGGGGTACCCCCGTCAGGTATTACCACCATAGTGCACCCACCACAGACGACTGTGCTTCCTTCCATTGTTAGCGCCCCGCCCTCCAGCTTGTCACCCCACCTTGGTGTCTCAGTTCTCTACCCTGCTCTCAAGTGCTGGCTTTTCAGCTTGTCTTTATCTGACTTAATTTAGTGACTTGGTATTCCAGATTGCACTGTTGTGTTGTATTGCAATATTACCATGTTGGTAGCACTGTGGTGACATCACCTGATGTCACCCTTCTGGCTTCCCAGCAGAGTGTGACAGACCCTCTCTTTGCGGGGGAAGCGGGTGGCTTCCGGTCAGCAGCTCTCGAGGGACTGAGGCCCCCGCACTGACAGCCTGCAGGGAGCGCCCACAGCTGCCAGGAGCGGGGAGTGACCTTCTCGAGTCCAGCTGCAGATGAGACCAGAAGCTGGTCTCCCATCGAGCTGACACCTCAAGGGGGTTTCGTGAGCAACTCTGAACCAGAGCACCGGGCCACATGCGTCTGGGTTTCTGACCCACAGAGACAGCCAGGGGATGTGAACTTTGTGTTCATTCATCCCCAGCCACAGGCGACTAATGCAGGGCTAGAAATGTAGAAAACGCCACAGAAAGCCACCGGCTGCCTCAATTTCTCTACTTGGGAACCGTTTCAGTGCTCTGCAAGGTGGTTTTCTGCCCAGGCACGTGAGCGGATGGAGCAGGAGGGCAAGATGCCACGGGGCTGCTTCTCCGCAAACAACCCCAGACTTGCATTTCCACGGCCCTTTCTTCTCCGAGTGCTTGAGATGCAGGAGCCCCGCTCACACGGGGCAGATGGAAGAGCTCAGTATGTTCATGTAAGCAATGATGGCAGGAGGGATTAGAACCCGGGTCACGGAAGGTCCCGGTCTTGGGCCCCCAGTGTGCCCAGCCAGGCTCTGTGACCACACACGTTACTCTGGCTCCTGTCTTCTATCCATTGTTGGGGTGGAAGGGAGCCGTTCCGAGCTGCCTGCAGTCTCTGTCCCCGGGGCACTGAGGAAACTTCCCCACCAGGGCCCCTTTACCAGAGCAATCCTTGGGAGCACAGGGGGACTCCAGACACCAGCAACACGTGTTCCCCAAGAGATCTGCTCAGCGGCCAGGGCCAACTGGCAGCTGCCAGCAGGGCAGCCGGGCAATCATGTTGTGCCAGATCCGCTGGCAGAGATTAGACAACAGAGTTTACTTTGCCATTAGCCTGCCTGGCACTGGGCTTCGACAGGCACGAAGTGCAGGGCACCCCCAGACAAGGGCACAGGTGCACAGAAGTGTGCCGGAACATGTCATGCCCAGCGCGGCTCGAGCTTTGAAGAACCCAGTCTCGGTGGACTGGCGCGGCACTGCGGCACAATAGCGCTATCTCGGGCGGGCGATAGGCCCGGGACAGCCGGTCCCCTGGGAGCTTGCAATCAAGGCTGCTCCGCCGTCACAGCCTTCCAGCCCGGGGAGCACACGTCTCCCATGCCTCAGAGCGGCAGGGCTCTGGGGCCTGCTTGGGTTTTGAAAACTTAAACTTGCCCTATTTTGGGCTCAATTATACGAGTAATGTTAAAAAGATGTGCAATCCCAAAATAGTGCAACCACTATGGAAAACTGTCTGGAGGTTCCTCAAACTGCTAAACATGGAGCT